TACCCACCTGTAAAGGGCTTCTACTATGAGGGCCTAGGGCTTAATTATAGGGGCCTTTATACTTTTGGGGTTTTCTTATAATATAGGGTTTAGGGTTTAGAAGTTTAGCTTAGAGCATGATTATAGGGCCTTTAAATAATTAGAACAGGGTTTGGGGGTTCCTTTAAAAGGTTCCTGAAAGGGTTTCTATAAGGGCTACTATGAGGGTTTAGGGTTTAGGGGCCTTTATAGTTAGTACAGGCTTTTGGGGTATATTATAACATAGGGTTTAGGGTTTAGGGTTTAGGGGTTTAGGGTTTAGGGGTTATAGTAAGGAGCCCGCATAATAGTATAGCTAATCATTTAGGCCCCGATGCTTCGACAGGGTGTCATAAGATTTAGGGTTTAGGGTTAGGGCTCCTGCAATTCTTGCAAGGCCACCGGGTTCAGTATAGCTTTTCTGTTTAAGGACTGTTTTTTTCTATGGTCTAGGGTTTAGGGATGTTTATGGGTCTAGGGTTAGGGGCATTTACGGGTTTAGGGTATTTGGGGCATAGGATTTGTTTTAAGGTTTGGGGCCCGGAGCAGCGTGGTAAGACGATGACGCTCTTACGCTCAGTTCACTGGTGCTCCGAGGTAGGCGCACCCGCAAGCTCTGAACCTGGCTTTAGGCGTGAGGATTTAGGGTGCAGGCTTTAGGGTTTAGGCTTCAGGGTTTAGGCTTAAGGTTTTTGGGGTTTTGGGGGACAAAACCAGCAACTTGAAAATTGTCAACAGATGATTGGCTATTGTTGCGATTCTTCTCTTGTCTTATGGAGTCAAAGTTCGATTGAACGGCCGGCACCCTAAACCCTAAACCCTAAACCCTAAACCCTAAGCCATTGCTGGTGTTTCTTCGCGGGTTTGTGCTACGGCAGAGCTCCACGAGCAGACCCCAAAGCCCCCAAACCTCCAGCACCCTCAACTTAACGGTCTAGGCTTTAGGGTTTAATGTAGGGGCCTTAATAATTAAAATAGGGTTTCGGGCTCCTTTATAGTATGATTATTATAAGAGACCCTAACAGTAATCTTGGTAACTATTTAAGCTTCTATGTTAGATCGCCGAGCCCCAAACTGCTCCACGAAGTTGCTGCTTGCAGCCACTGGACGAGCACCTCAGGCACAAACGCAAGACTGAAAGGCTTAAGGCGGACATACCCTAGGCACCTGGTACCACAAATGCCTTGAGTGCCATAGCCCTCAAAGCCCTCGAAGAAACGCTGGCGCTCTTGCGGCACCGCTATAGAACCATGAACAACCTTTAAAGAAATCTGAACCAACAATGAAAGTCGCTAAAATCGTACAAGACCGCTCAGAACAGCCTAAAGCATCACAGGGCCGCGTAAAATAGCTGTAAGCACTGCGAGAGTCGTACATAAGAAACGAATAAAATATATCTCGAATAAAAAGAGCAACTTTAAGAATAAGCCTGCGAAGAAAGCGTGCGCTTCTTTGTCAGGTTCCCCAGATCCCTAACTTCAGCACTAAAACCGGAACCCGACGTCCTCCATGCTGAACTTGTATAGACCGTATAGATCCCTTAAAAGAACTCTGAAAAGGGGCCCTTAGGGTTTAGGGTTTAGGGTCTAGGGTTTAGGGTTTAGGGTACCCCAAGACCCCTCCTTCGTCAGGATCCGATCGTGGCAAAGGCCAGTGCAAAGGGCGCCGCTGGGCAGCGATGGCTTCCGTTTCCAATCGGAATATTTGGATCACTATAAAAGGTTGTGATAGTAGGGCCCAAAAAAGGACATGAGCAAAAACTAGGATAGGGATATCCACATCCCTGCAAATGCTTATGCTAATGTGTTTTTTGAAAGGATTGCCCGAAGGGTTCGGATTTTAGGGCAGGGGGAAGGGCCAGTACGGGTCGGGGGAGGAGCTGAGGAGAAACCCCCAAATAGGGGAGCGCTAGAAAGTGAAATCGGTAACATGACCCTAAACCCTATAATATATTATAAACTATAAACCCTAAGCCCTAAACCCTATAAATCCTAAACCCACGGTAACTTGTAGAATCGGTAATACGAGGACCCCCAAGATGCCCCCATGTCACTGCACTGTCGGCTCAAGACAAGTAGCGGAGTGTGTGCTGGGCCCCCCAAAGTCTCGACAGATTCCTGAGAAAGATGGTCCGCTCCCTCGTGCTGACCGGTGCCGTTCTCCTTTGCTGCGGGGCACTCTTCAGCGCTTTCGTTCCGGCAGTTCGCAGTTCTCCGGCACCGACTGGCACGGCCGGGACGGTAGCAGCCCTCAGTGCGGTCACGCTCGTGGCTCCGAACCCCGCTTTCGCGGACGAGGGTGCCGTGTGGATCCCTGCGCTCTCCGCCATCGGGGCAGGCCGAGTCTTGGGTGGTCCTGTCTTGTACAGTAGAAGTATCGCATCGTAGAGTCCAGTACAGTATAGTCCAGTGTGGTATAGTATAGTATAGAGTATGGTATAGTATAGTATGGTGTAGTAAAATATAGTATAGTATAGTAAGTGTGATGGTTGATCCCTTCTTTGCAGCAACAGCGCTTGCAGGGTAAGGTGTTTAGCATGGAGTCCAGGGTTGTGGTGTTCGTCTTGATTCATGCAGTTGCCGAACCTTTCAACATAGGGGTTAGAAAAGGGTTTTGGGGCCCATTATACTATAGTTATAATAAGGAGCCAGCAAAAGAGTATAGGTAATTATAAATGCCCCTACATTACTCTTCAGCTGATGAAGCTAGTAACCATGTATCGCAAGCGCCCCCTGCGTAAAAACAGCGCTGAGCCGCGTGCACACTGTTTCCACGCGCTTAAACCCTAATCCCTATAAGTATAAACCCTAAACTCCAAATCCCAAACCCAAAGCCCTTGTGGTAACCCCCACTTATGCCCAGCCGGTTCGGCGCGGACACCCTTAAACTCCAAAGCATAAACCCTAATATAGGGGCTTGATAATTGCCAATACTAGTTTGGAGGTTCCTGAACTGTTGAACTTATGAAAACTATAGTCACAAATCCCCCGCAACCCTGTTCTAACAGGCCCCTATGCATCCCTGGTAGAACCTTTGTAGATCCCTTCAAACAAAACCCTATTCTGCTTGTTAAGGCCTCGAAATCTTCCACACCCAGAGACTCCAAGATCCCTTAATTAAGGAATATACCTTAACTCATGTTAAGGATCCTACTATAGTTTAAGGAATATTCCTTAATTAAGGAATATACCTTAGAATCATATTAAGGATCTTACTATAATTTAAGGAATATTCCATCAAGGAATATTGGAGCCTCTGGGTACGCAGGCTTCGCCATCGGCCTGGCGGCCATCGGCTCCGGCGTGGGCCAAGGCATCGCGTCCGGGCGCTGTATCGACGGCATCTCCCGGCAGCCCGAGGCCTGCCTGGGCTCTAAAGCCCAGAGGCTTTGGGGTTCAGGGTTTAGGGGTTTAAGGGTTTGAGGGGTTTAGGGTTTAGGGTTAAGGATGATCTAGAACCCCTAATTTGGGACCCTATACTACTAAGGGCTCTTTATAGGAACCCCCATTTAGGGATCTACTTTATGGATCCTCCCAGAGGGTCTGGGCATATAGACTTCCATTGAGCAAAAGACCATCCTTCTGATGGTTTTGGAGAGCCTAATGCCACAATAGTAGTGTATATGGAGCCTCTAGGAAAGGGTTAATGTCGGGGACCTGATTCAGCAAACCTGAGTCTTTATTAGGGTTCTCAGTATGAAACCTTATGTATTTGAGGTTATAGGGCCAGGGTTTCTTAATCTCAGGTCTTTCTGGGCTTTATAGGGTTAATCTCCGGGGTTTCCAGGGTTTGCTACGAGGGGGGAAACAAGTGTCCCAAACCCTAAACCCTAAACCGTGTTCAGGGCCTTTTGAACCTCTGCAGGTTTGGTTTCCCGGTGCGGCTACAAGCCCAGAGACTCCAATATCCCCTTAATTGAGGAATATACCTTAAATCATATTAGGGATCCTACTATAATTTAAGGAATATTCCTTAATTAAGCATTAACGGAGCCTCTGGGAAAAGGATTTAGGGTTTAGGGTTTGTCAGGTCCGGCGCGGTGGTTTAGGGTTTAGGGTTTAAGGTTCAAGGCTTAGGGTCTATACTAGGGCTTTATACGGGTACTAGAAGCAGTTTTTTCCAAGCAAACAAAAACCTGGATTGAAAGGGTTACTATGACAAGGGTAACTCTAATTCTTGCTTTAAGGCTTTCTATAAGGGTTCTATAATGGGTTTCAGGTTTAGGTTTCAAGGTCTGAGAGGGAGCCACAGGGAGCCCTTATAAAGCCCTAAACCCAAAGTCCTAAAACCTGAACCTCTCAACCCTAAACCCTAAATCCTGAACCCCTAGAAACCCTAAGCCCTGAACCCTGAACCCCTAGAAACCCTAAAAACCCCAAACCCTGAACCCCTAGAACCCCTAGAAACCCCGAAACCCTAAACCCTAAACCCTAAACCCTAAGCTTCCCAGAGGTTGCTGACGACCTGCGTGGCGTGTTGCTCCTCTCCCTGGCCTTCATGGAGCTTCTTATAGTGGCAGAAAGGTTAGGGTGGAGGGTTTAGGGTGTAGGGTTTAGGGTTTAGGCTTCTTACCTCGACAGAAAGGTTAGGGGATTTATATGGGGGGTTAGGGGCGTAGGGTTTTGGGTTGTTTACTGGGTTTAGGGTTTAGGGAGTTTAGGGGTTTAGGGTTTGGGGGGTTTGGGTTTATTATTGCTATGCAGGCGAGTAGCTCAGTCAGGGAGTGGTTTGGTACCAGGGCGGTTCTCTGGGGCCGGGCCTATAGGGCTTGTTTAAAGCTGGTTTTGGAACCAGGAGATAAACAAAATGGTCATTGATCGGACGACTTCTAAACTTAATCTAAGGTCCCTGATTATTACCTCTATTATTTTTGGCGGTTCCCTATGATACTTAGAGTATCATGGGCCCCGAAGCCCTAGAATGAATATTGAGGCCTCCTACATTACGGTCCTGCCTGTCAGCGACTTATTGAGCCTCCCCCCCTGTCTAGGACATTTTGAGGTGGGTAGCCACCGTTATAGGAGCCTTATAGAAGGTCTATATACCTTATGGAAGCCCTATAGAAGCCCTATATACCCTAAACTCCCCACCTGTAGTTTCCTTTAACCCTGATCTTCTCCAGACGGTGTCGGATCCAGAGGGGGGTGCTGCAGAGTTGCAGCTTGTAAGCTCCATGAGCCCTATTTAGGTGCCCAAAATTAGTGCGGCACCCTTATTTCAAAACAGGGACCCTAAAGGGGATCCTACTGATTTGTTTAGAGAATTGCCCATGAGCGTGCATAACTGAAAGCATCCGAACGTTGTGTAGCACAGACGTGGGCTGAGTTGGGTTTTTGATTTGCTGGTGTTGGATGCGCATTTCGTGTATGTATATGTATGTATGTGTAGGTATATGTATGTATGTGTATGTATGCATGCATGCATGCATGCATGCATGCATGCATGCATGTATGCATGTATGTATGTATGCATGTATGTATGTATGTATGCACGTAGGTATGTATGTATGTATGTATGTATCCGTTCCCATGTCGTATCCTGCGGTGGGGCCGCGGGTTAGTCCTAGAGACAGATGCGGCGCAACCTTTGTGCTGCTTGCTCGGCTTGGTCGCGAACTCGTCCGATGGCCGTGAGAGAGAGAGAGAGAGAGATGTATGTATGTATGTACGTAGGTATGTATGTATGTATGTATGGATGGATGGATGGATGGATGGATGGATGGATGGATGGATGGATGTATGTATGTATGTATGTATGTATGTGCATATATATATATATATATATGTATACACACATACATACACCCATACAACCCCTAAGACTCTGGACGTTGAGCCACCTCTGTGCCGAAGCAAGTGTTGATGGTGCGTTTTTCCTGACT